CTGCTCAAAACTCGTGTTTGAATCATCAGTGGCAAATCCTTTAAATATGAAAAACTTACTTGCAGTCTGAGAGTGAGAACAGCCGGCATTGTAGTCTAATCTCCCATGAAACGGTCATGCTGCACACATCCGAATATTTGGGTTGAACTGTTCTGGAACAGTGTTGTAAATGGAACTTAACCACTGATTTCTAGTTGTGTCCTCTTTTGGAAGACCAAACAAAGTTTTGCTTTCACAACGAAACACACAGCGGGCTAGAGTGAGCGGAGGCTGGCGGGCTTGCGGCAACCACATGAGACAACCTGGGCTGGACTCTGCTTCGTCCACGGTGAAAGCTGATCCGGCGATCTACAGCGCAAAGTTGTAGTATTTCCTCAGCAACCAGCACGGATCAGCTCCAGGCATGACGAAGCAGATATCATCCTCTTTTGGAAGGCCAAACAAAGTTTCGCTTTCACAATGAATCACGCAGCGCATTCACAACATGGAGGCGGCGGCGGCAACAACAACAATACTACAGTGAGAATAAACATTACGCCGCCTTTGCGTGAACATTTGGGCTGCGTTATGCAAATCTTCCCACATAATGATGTAGATATGTGGGGGCGTGTTAGAGCTGTTTTAGGTAGGTGTGGCTGACTCTTAACTTTTATAAAGAATATCTCTTTGGATTTGAGACTTTAGTCTTTGCAATTTTACAGATCTTTTTGCGCCAAGAGCTTGTAACACTCCAAAGAGAAAGGAAAAATTTTAATCGTATCATATGACCCCTTTAAAGAACAGGTCATATGGGTTTTTGAAAAATAGCTCTTTTGCAGTTTATAACGTAGCTATCCTTAAATGAAAACAATCTGCAAAGTTGTTAATCAAAATAAGTGCATGATAAATAAAGATTTTGTCTCTTAAAAGAGAGAGTTGATTCTGAATCGCCTTAACGAGTCATTTTCTAAACTTTTGCCTGTTACCGGTATACGTCACTGGGTAACACATTTGCATAATCCCCGCCTGCCCACAAACACTTCCGCTAGTTAGTGTTTACATCATGTTGAGAAGACGCTGTGTTCAAGGATACCACAGAAATACAATTCTAACCTTTTGTTGTGTGCATATCATTTTACCAAGGACTGCTTCTCTAATCTTGGCTTTTATCTTCGTTGGCTTTTAATCTTCTTAATTTGGGCTAACAAGCTCTCTGAACCACAACCTATCAGTACGATTGATACGTTATGTGTACATTTTCAATTGAGTGCTCAAAATATCAAGTTTTTGTGCTAATGTGAGGTATTCCTAGTGCAGCTTTAGCTTTCCAGGTAAAGCACGATATTACTGTCTTACTGAAGTAGTTCAGATAATTAGCTGTGAACGATTAATGTAGACTGACGTTGTTCTAATTACTTCGTTTAATAATAAAGAATGTGGTGTAGCACACAGACTTTATAATCATTGTGAAATTGCTGTTTATTTTGCTGCACCGGCAGTTACCAAGGACTGCTTCTCTAATCTTGGCTTTTATCTTCGTTGGCTTTTAATCTTCTTAATTTGGGCTAACAAGCTCTCTGAACCACAACCTATCAGTACGATTGATACGTTGTGTGTACATTTTCAATTGAGTGCTCAAAATATCAAGTTTTTGTGCTAATGTGAGGTATTCCTAGTGCAGCTTTAGCTTTCCAGGTAAAGCACGATATTACTGTCTTACTGAAGTAGTTCAGATAATTAGCTGTGAACGATTAATGTAGACTGACGTTGTTCTAATTACTTCGTTTAATGATAAAGAATGTAGTATAGCACACAGACTTTATAATCATTGTGAAATTGCTGTTTATTTTGCTGCACCGGCAGCTATAGGGTTAATGCGGGAGAGACGAGCGAGTTAGTTAGGCTGGTGCACCTGTGGGCTGTTCTGATTAAAAGTTAAGGCCGAGCATCTTTTATCTGTCGTTCTTCAAACATTACAGTAGACATATTTTGGTTTACAAACTGTATTGTTTCATCAGTTAGTCACATTAGCACTCGGCTAACGTATCCACTATTATTGTTTTAAGTGTTCACCGTTTAGCAGTTAAACTTTAGCTGTGGGCATGATTCGCTTGCATAAGTGTTTTTGTATATGTCATTATTATAAGAACGGATTGGAGCACTAGGGTTATCCTTGTTCTATGTAAAGGTGCTTTGTCAATGGTAGCACTCGCTAACTTGCTCAAGGACTTCTCTGTGTGCCAGTCACAACAGACTTGGCCAGCTGAACAATCAGAGCAGAGTAGGCTTATGGAAGGGAGGGGTTTGCTCCGAACTTGCTTGGAATGAATCGTTTCGAAATCATTGGCAAATGACTCTATTAAATGTATGTTCTGAGAAAATTACAATGTTTTCTGACCTTAGATGCATTTAAAACTGTTGTAGGGGACTCCAACACAATATTAGGACACCTTTAAAATACCATATGACCTGCCCTTTAATTTTTCCACCTTGACTCGTACTGCACAAAAAGTGGTTCAATAACGTTGAATGTTACAGGGACTGATTATTGCAAATGCAGATCCCACTGTGTTCTGGTTAAATAATTTATTTTATTTGTTTATTTATTGCTAAGGTTTGCATATGGAGGTGTGTTCTTTATGACAGCTTTCCTAAAAATATATCCTATTACTAAAATAAGAAATATCCCAATATATCACCTTGCTTACAGTATCGCAACCCCTGTATCGTGTTGCGTATCGTGTCGCCAGATTCCTGCCAATACACAGCCCTGCAGATATATTAAATGAGAAAAAGTGTGACGACATAAAAGAGAACTGAATTTGGTCCGGTTTTCTGAGCCCGCACACCTGAATCATGCGCACAGAAAAGCGCCTCACACAACGCACAAGTACTGAATTCAATTCTCTTTCGCGTCGCATGAACGGAGAAATACACAAAATGATGTTGAATTGTCCGTTTTGACGAGTATTCACGTAAACCTATTCGGTTACGTCTTAAGTGAATGTACATAGTTGGGAGAATATCGGATGTGTGTCAGTGTAATGCACCAGTGCATTCGGTTTTAAAGGGACAGCAGCCTCATTTAGGTGCTGTTTTCTGTCATTAATGTTAATCAAGCAACAAAAGAAAGAGGCAATCACTCACTACTCTTGACTGAATTACTTTAAAGGTGCAATAGGTGATTGTCTTCAGAAACAATTTTTGTTATGCTGGTTGAAAGTCTTTTCACATCCCTATAGCAATCATTAAGTTAAATGGTCTAAATGTATGTCCATATTCTGTGGAAGGCGTAGGACCAAGAAATGTTCGTCCGAGCGTTTTAATTGGCTTTCCTACCTGCCTGTCAACATGTGTTGACAGCATACCTCTGTGCACCCGGTTCGCGCAGACCGGATACGTCATCAGCGCGTTCACGCAAGCTGTGGAGACTGAGCGAGAATGGCAGACAAACATCAACAACCCGATCTTCCTTCCTGGTATTGTAGTACTTTTAAAGTTTTCTCACTGGTGAATGACACCCGATGTAGCCCAGCGGTTCCCAATTCCAGTCCTGAAAATACGCAGTGCCTGAAAATAGGCTAACTTCAGTCAACATAACCAACGTGACCACCTGCTTGCACAGGGAGCGTGCTGGGGGCTATTTTCAGGCGCTGCGTAATATCATTGCGCCTGCTGCACCCATGGTACGGCAGCAAAGCTCCTTGATTATTACGCCGGAATGAGAGTATAGTTCCTAGCCATATCGGCCTAGAAAATCGCAACTTTTCATTTTCCGTCGGTCTTAGTACACGATGTAACTACAGAAGAGTCAAGTTTTAAATAGGAAAAATATCTAAACTCTTTGGTCATTTTTGAACGAGATGCTAACGGTCTAATCGGATTCAATGATCTATGCTAAGCTACAGCTAAAAGTGCTACCGCCAGACCCGGAAATCGGCTGAATGGATTAAAAAAATGGTAAAACTCAACTGTTTAACTCTAGGGGAGTTGGAAAATGAGCCTATTTTCAGAAATAGTGGAGTGTTCCTTTAAAGCCGATAAATAATGCATTATTTCCTTCAGAGACAACTCAGATGTGCACTGTTCGCCATGTGGGTTTTGAATTGCTTGAAATATGATTTGAATCACTTCGAAAAGGAAAATACAGTTAAGTGCAACATACAGAGCAAGTCTGTCATATAAGCTACATAAAATCAGAATGAGAACATCACTGTAAAATAATGTTGTGTAATATTTGTGAGCCGTGTTTAGTGTGCGAATTATTATGGTAAGAGCATATCCACAACGGAGCTACACCTTGATGACTAGAACAGTTAAATTAGCTTGTGCATTTGCAGCCTTTTGTGCAATTTTATGTTGTTGTTGTATTATTATTATTATTATATATATATGTGTGTATGTATGTATGTATGTATGTATATATGTATATATATATATATATATATATATGTGTGTGTGTGTATATATATAATATATATATATATATATATATATATATATATATATATATATATATATATATATATACTGTATATGGTCACA